GAAAATTGGAACTTGCAATGGGAGATGAGGAACCATTGGAAGGTTTGAATTAGGAAAGTGACATGGTTCAAGCATGAACTTCAGAAAGTTTATCCTGTCGGGAGATTGGTTTGGAGAGGGTGAAAGCCATAGGCAGGGGGAACAGAAAGGCCAGGGGAACAGTCTGGGTGAGAAATGGGTGCTAGGGCACAGCATCATTTAATGAGCAGGTGCAGAAAGAGGATGTTGAGGAGAGTCAGAGGTTAGAGAGGGACTGCATAGGATATAGAGGTGTGAGGTCACCCAAGGGAGGATGGCTTCAGTGAGGGATTAATCTGCAGGTCTTGGATGTGGCCCCTGGGAGGTCAGCAAGGCCTATATACCAGCAGTGTCAGCAGGAATCGGACATTAGGGTGAGAAGAGGGAGGCACTCACCTCTGGTACAACAATTAAGGAGGTACTTAAAAGCTCAGTAATCAAGATGAATAATATTTTAATGTGATATTTTGAAAAAAAATTGACATTAGTGCAAAAAATCCATAATGAACAAAATATCAGAGTTTAAAACAGAGACAGCATCAGAATTACTCATTTTTCCTTTGTTAGGGTCTAGTATGGCTCTGCACAGAGTGTCAATGTGCAAAGGACAAGCAGGGAGGGAGGATACAGGTGGAGGCATATTGAGGAGTGAACTGAAGTAATTGAAGCATGGAGGGCAGACTCTTCCTTTATAAAGGCGCAGCTTCACTCGAAAGAAAAAAAATGGAAAGAATGGTCTGTGTAGGGGATCTCGGGCTTACAGATTTTTTTTGAAGATGGAAGGGACTTTCACCTGCTTATTAGACGAAGGGAGGAGTCCCTGCATGTAGGGAAAGATTGATGGAAGAGTAGGCGCTCATGGAGACAAGAGGGCACAGGGAGAGTGGGTGGTTCTGGGCAAGCCCAGGGACAACAGGTGCCAGCCCCACAGTGGGAATGTGGAAAGTTGTGGGCGCTTGCTCCTCACAAGTGGCAAAGTCATTTGATGAGAAATCATCTGATGCAAAAGGGCACCGTGGGTGGTGTTAGGATGGAAGAAAGCAGCAAAGGTGGAGCCCTTGTGAGGAGCTGACCAAGGTCTTATAAAAACAGTTGTGGATCAGCAATAAGGGGTCTGCTGAGGTTGAAAACCTCCGAGTGTGGTGTGACCTTTTCCCATCCTGTCAGCAAGATTTGCTACTCTAGATGTGAGTGGAGGAGGCTCGTCATTGAGGATGGGGTGCTGGGGCGATGAGCCATCCTGCTTTCCCGGGACTGAGGAATTTTCTGGGACACAGAACTTTCAGTCCTAAAACTGGACAATCCTGGCAAACTGGGACCAGTTGGTCACTGAAGGTGTTGCAGAGTTGGTGGTCAGGAGGCAAAACGGCAAGAGAATGGAGGGTGCCAGGTGGAGAGAGTTTGTGGCATATGCTCTAGGTCCAGTCTGGGGAGAAAGGGAAGTGAAACTGTTACCTGGTAATAATTTGTGAAAATTCATTCATTCCTTCCTTCATTCATTCATTCAACAAACAGTAATTGAGTGCCTACTATGAGTCAGGCACTGGGGTCCATGCCGAAGATTTAACCAAAAATAAGATATCAGTGCCCTCATGGACCGTCCTGTGGTGGCTAGTGTCAGTTGGTCCTCAGGACCTGTTCTCACCTGTGTCCGGAGAGGGGAAGATGGCAGACTGTATCTCCCTGGTTTCTTTACAAGTAGGATGTGAATTTAGTTCTGCCAATTAGGTACATCCAGGCAAAGTTTATAAGCAGAAGTGAGGTAGAGACCAATAGCTGGTTGCTTTTCTTAGTTTCTCTGCTGGCAAGCAGGCTATGGTGATTTGGGGATTTGGGCAGCAGCGCTTTGGTTGTCCAATCTCTAGACTTGGAGAGTTTGGAGGCAGGTGTGGTGGTGGGTTACCTTTTGGTCTCTGGATCACTGCAGGTGTTCTTTTTTTTTTTTTTAATTCTCACCAGAGAATATATTTATTGATTTTAGAGAGAGAAGGAGGAGAGAGAGACACACACAGAGACACAGAGAGAGACAGAAGATATTGATGTGAGAGGAACATCAGTTGTCTGCCTTGACTGGGGACTGAACCACCACCTAGACACATGCCCTGGCTTGGGATCAAACCCCAAACCTACTGGTGTAGGGGATGATACTCCAGCCAACCAAGTAATAAGGCCAGGGCTCACTGCAGGTCTTCTTGAGCTCAGTCCTCCCTGTGGCAGCCTCCTGGTTCTCCACTGTCTTGGCTGAGACTCTGCCTTTCTGATAGTCCCAGGAATCTTTCTCAGAAGCCCAGCCGAGAGCCCCTTCTTGCAGCCCTTATAGCAATGTTGTAAGCACCTGCATTAAAAGCATTTCTAATGAAAATACCTGATTTCTGTTTCTAATATCTGGCACCCTTTCTATTAGGCAGTTTGTAGAAATTAACTCTGGTAATTTAGAGCAGCTTTGTTTAAATGATAATTGGGACCTTCCCATGACTTCCCCTTCAGAAATGAAACTGGAAGTGGTCTTAGGTTTTAAGTAATTCAATTGTGAAAATCAGAAACAGTTCGTACTGCAGTATGGGTGTAGAAAAAAGGAAAAGCATAGTCATTCAGGTGAAGTTTGACTAACAGTCGAGGGCCTGGGGGAAGACGAGGAATTTTTAAAGAATTCCGAAATAGTCACACAGATGCCAGTTGTGTCTGGCTGGAAAAGGCTTAAAATAGTGGCGTGAAACGAAACCAACATAATGTCGATCAGGAGGACTGGGCATTTGGAAGCAGGAAAGAAAAAGACTGGGGCTCACATAGCTCCTCTCTCCTTCCCCTGAGCGACTCCAGAGGAGGTGAGTGAGTGCTGAGCTTCGGCAGTTTCAGCAGGGTGGAGTTTCAAATGGTGGGCAGTGTCCTTTCTCTAAAGAACTCATTCTGTCTGCTACTACCCTTCTTCACCCTCTCTGCCCTATCTCTTGAGAGTCATGTTAATTAAAATCTGATCTGTTCTTTCTGAGGATAACTTTGGGATGCCTCTAGGCTTTCTTGTTCTAAGCTTTATCTGTACACACACCAAGGATGTTCTACAAGCATTCTGAATACTGTGAGATGTGAGTATGGAAGAGACAGAAACTAACTTTTAATGTTAAAAACCTATAAGGATTCCCTTTGGCTTGCTGTTGTTTCCTAATTTTATTATACTGTGGTCAGAGAATGTGGTGTGAGGAATATTTTAGTGTCTGTATACCTATCGTCCAGCTTATGAAGCAAAATATTACAAAGTCAGCCCTTTCCCCCCTGCATCTTTATCTAGTCATGATCCATTCATCCGGTTATGGGAAACAATTCAGTATTTATTATTACTACCTATGTTCTAATATTTTCACTACATGCACATACACACACACAAACTCCCTAAACAATATACAGGTTGGGGCAAAAGTAGGTTTACAGTTGCTCAAATGAAAAGTAATACAATAAATAATAAATAATACTGGAATAAACTCTGTGTTTCAGGTACTCACAGCTGTAACCCTACTTTTGTTCCACCTTGTATGGTATTATTTTTGAAACATTTAGGGTTTTAATGTATGCTTTAGCAATTTGCTTTTTGCCTAAGCAAAAATATTTGCTTTGTTTGCTTTTTGTTTGTGAGATTCATGTAGTTCGGGTTCATTTTCAGGACTGCATAGTATCCCATTAAAGGACTATAGCATTTTATTTAATCTCTTGTTGATAGGCTGGCCTATCACTCTCCCACTCCCACCCACTTTGACTTTCTAACCTAATATCGTCCCTTTGTTTTCATATAAAATTTTTTTCTCCTTATCTATTTTTGTTTAAGATGCCTCAAAACTTTCTTGGACTGAGATTATATATAAATAAAAAATTATTTATAAATAAAATAGATTTAGGGTTCCACTCACTAAATATAGCTTGATAAATATATAAATATACTTGTATGCAAATATGTAGCAGTAGTTAGCAATTTGCCCGTTGGGTTGTGTTCCCAATTATTTATTTGCTACGATTAACTTTTAACCTGACATGTTCTCTGATAGAAACAGACACAGTACTTTCCCAGAACACTAATATTTTTTAAAATGGAAAACAAATGAAATTGAAATTTTAGAGTAGATAGTGACTGTCATTCGCAGCTTAAAATTTGAAAGAAAATAATTTGCTTTCCAGTGGAAGAAGCTAAGAATACACCATAGCATGACCTTCCCACTGCTCCCACCCAGACCCCAGCCCAGGCCTGGGATCTTCCCCCAGATCTTCTGTTCCACCTCCTTCCTGCCACTGGTACCATCGGGAACTCTACTGGTAACTGTGGCCCTGCAGCAGTGCATTGAGAGGCAGGGGCTTCTGGCACTTTGAGGGAGGAGGGAGGTGCTCCTGGTCTGAAGAGGTGATCAAAATCCATCAAGGTTTAGCTGTGTTGGCAGGCCCTCTAAGCATTCGTGATGAAGCTGTGGGAAGGGCCTGGGACTTTGGGGGGATGGCAGTGAAGGTTTCTGCTTACAGGTAGAATGAGGGATTGTAAAGTAGGAGAAACACTGGAAAAAGGGATGGGGTAGGAACAGATGCCTCTTTCTCCTATCATTTTTGTATTCCACAGAGGGTCCCTTTTGCTGTGACCTGGGCAAGGTCACTGTTTTTTTTTCCTAGTCGGTTGCTTAGTCATTGGGCTTTTCCTCCTCCAGTGTAATTTCCCCTTTACGATACTATACGTTCTAATTTCTGATGAAGTAGGTGGGGTTTTTTTAAATTTTTTTTTGGAAAAATTTGGCTCTGGTTTCATTTCCTTTAAAATGTAAGTTATTTTCTTTGTGTTGGTTTTGTATCAGTTTCTTTGTCAATTGAGGATCACCTGCTGTAGACTTAACACAGTATGGATTTAATTGGCTGGATTTGAGAGTCCAGCAAGAAAGGAAGAGCCCATATTTTGAATTTTAGGCATAAATTATGTTGATAAGAGGTTTTTAAAAATTCCGTTTTAACCACAGAGCACCTTCACTGGAGAGGATTCTGAGAGAAATGAAGAAAGCCATCAGAAATGAAGTCAGTAGCCTCATGGTCTTCTGTTAACTGGACTGGAGTCTCATTTCTGCACTTCCTTGAAAGGACCCTCTACATGACCAACACGATGTCGGCTGAGGTCATCCATCAGATTGAAGAGGCACTTGATGATGATGAGAAGGAGATGCTTCTTTTTCTGTGTCGGGATGTTGCTGCAGATGTGACTGCATGTAATGTCAGGGACCTTTTGGATAGTTTAAATGAGAGAGGAAAGATGACTATCATGGGCCTGGCTGAGCTGCTCTACAGAGTAAGGCGGTTTGACTTGCTCAAGCGGATCTTGAAGATGGACAAAATGACCGTGGAGGCCTACCTGCTCAGGCACCCTCATCTCATTTCAGACTACAGGTAATCCCAAGGCCGGGAGGGAATGAGGCAGTCTAGACTTCTGAGTAAGAGAAATAAGGACAGTAAGAAAAGTAGTCTCATCACTGTCTCTGCTCACTAATCTAGCTGCTTGGTAAGTTGCTTCCTTCCTTTAAACTCTTTGCATTTTTTAAAAGATTTTATTTACTGTATTTTTTGGACTATAAGACATACTCCCCCCAAATTTGGGGGTGAGGGGGTGCATCTTATAGTCCGGATGTAGCTTACCTGGCTTGCTGTCGGGGGGGACGGAGCACAGCGGCCTATGCTATTTATGTTATTAAATATTTTACCACATTTTTTGCTGCAAAATTTTTTTTTTCTATTTTCCTCCTCTAAAACCTAGGTGTGTGTTATGGTCCAAAAAATCCAGTATTTACTTTTAGAGAGAGGGGAAGGGAGGGAGGAAGAGAGGGAGAGAAATATCAATAGGTTGCCTCTCCTGTGCTTTTTGTCAGGGGACCAAACCCACAACCCAGGCATGTGCCCTGGCTGGCAGTCAAACCAGTGACCTTTTGCTTTGTGTGATGATACCCAGCAGAGCCACCCGTCAGGGCAAACTATTTGAATTCGTAGATTGTATTTGCGTAAAGTAATTGGAAGGGATGGATGGTATGTGTTCGTCTGATGGCTATAACAAGCAAGATAGGAATTGACTAAAGACCTCAGTAATTCTTACCCGCCTCTGTGAGACATGCAGTGGCCTTTGCTGGCTTGATTTTCTATGATGTCAGACCTGGCAATTTCCTGAGTGAGAAAAGGAAGTCAGTCTGGGAGTGTTTTTCCTGACTGTGGAACTCTGTGATCCCCTGGAAATCCCCACTGGTGTTTCCGTTGCTGAGGTAGCTAGTGAGTTGTTTCCTTCTTGTGAAGTTCCTGCATCCAGAGACTCTGGGGAGCCAAAGTGAACACCTCTGCAATTAACCTCCTCTCAGCCCCCTTCAGTTCAGAGAGGAATGTCTGCTGGAGTCCCTTTTCGTTCAGACCACCTTTACATTGTTCCTTCCTTCTGTTCACACAGTACTCTCTTGGAGCTTCTGGGGTGCACAGAAACCACCAGAAAGGCTGTTTTGGGGGAAATGAAGAGAACTTAAATTAGCAGTTCCTTTTTCTTCAGCCCATCAGCCTTAGTTATATCAATAATTAATCTTTTGAGATGCTATACATTATTAAAACTATTTTAAAGAGAGTTGAAAGCAGTGTGGGCCTTGGAAAGTGACTGAGACTGGAGGTCTGCAGGCCTGATTCAAGCCTCATAGGCCGAGTCAGCCACTAATATTGGTTGGGCCTTCTTTTTCCTACTTGTAAAGCTAAGAATAATGTAATTTCACAAGTTTGTTTGTGAGGATCAATTGTGATAATTTAGCATGTGAAGTACCTTTTAAAACTATGAAGCACTCTAAAATGTAGTTGATGCTGTTATTCTTGATTGTCTTCCACCTCTCCAACCAACATATATCTGTAATCAACCTTTTGGGAGACACCAACTGGGTTTTTATGAATAGGTTAGAGGGCACTCCCTCCCTTTCCTGTCTATGATGAGTGGAAGCAGTTTCTAGAGGCTGCTGGGCAGAAAGGCCAGGCAGTGGGAGGTGAGTGCTAAATTCCTTTACTCATCTGTTCAGTAGGCGTTTTTGTGGGTTGACATGTGCCAGGTATTTGGGAAGTGCTACAGCAAAATGAATGAAGACTCTTATATCCTTAAGACTCTGAGAGTCTAATTGGGAAAACAGCCCTCTAAGCAGTTAGGACAGTTTTAGGGTATTAATGGTAATCATGAAGTGTCCTTTGAGCCCCAGCAAAGTGTGACAGAAGCTCTGAATGGAAAGAGGTGACTGAGTCAGGAGGGGCTTTCTAGACCAACACATCTGCCGCTACAGTCTCAAGACTCTACATGCCCTTTGCCCTTTGAGTTTCAGAGTGGGCTGGCATATCCCAGGTGTTACTTTGCTTTAGAATCTTGTGACTCAAAGAATGATGGTCATGGGGTCATCATCAGCATCACCTGGGAGCTTGTTAAACAGAGAAGACAAGATCACTTTCAGTCCTATTTTTGTCTTCGTCTTAGTCATTCAGGTTCTTTACTTATTTCTTCACAACTTCTGGGGGAGCTAGGGGATCTTCAGGGAAGTTTTTATTCTCTGAGTTATTTTCAGAGCATTTAGTGGAAAGAGAGGTACTATCTCCTATTGAAAAGTGGGAAAAAAATGAGTTTCCTTAAGATCTCTTTTTGGGGTGATCTAGGCTTTCAGTCTTATGGGGGGTACATTGAAATGGGGACAAGAATTAGTCCTTTTTTTAAAGATTGTATTTATTTGGTTTTTAGAGAGCAGGGAAGGGAAGGAGAAAGAGGGAGAGAAATATCAATGTGTGGTTGTCTCTTGCGCATCCCCTACTGGGGACCTGGCCTACAACCCAGGCATGTGCCCTGACTGGAATCAAACCAGAGGCCCTTTGGTTCGCAGGCTGGCGGTCAATCAACTGAGTTACACCAGCCAAGGCAAGAATTAGTCTTTTTAAAAAAAGATATATTTTATTTGCTTGTGCTATTAAAGTTGTCCCAATTTTTCACCCTTTGCCCCCTTCCATGAAGCCCCCCGCACTCCCTCAGGCAGTCCCCACACTAATGTCCATGTCCATAGGTCATGCATATATGTTCTTTGGCTACTCTCTTCCTTATGCTTGCACTTTACATCCCCGTGACTAGTCTGTAACAACCAATTTTCTTAATCCCTTCACCTTTTTCCCCATTACCCTGACACCACTCCTATCTGGTAACCATCAAAACATTTTTCCGTAACCCTGCCTGATGTGGCTCACTGGGTTGATTGCCAGGCTGTGAATGGAAAGGTCTCTGGTTCAATTCCCAGTCATGGCCCAAGCCTGGGTTGTAGGTCAGGTCCTCAGTTGGGGGCATGCCAGAGGCAACTGATCAATGTTTCTCTTGCACACTGAAGTTTCTCTCCCTCTTTTTCTCTCCATTCCCCTCTCTCTAAAAATAAATAAATAAAATCTAAAAAGAAAAATACATACTCTGTATCTATAAGTCTGTTTCTGTTCTGCTTGTTTATTTTGTTTTTAGATTCAGTTCTTGATAGATACATATTTATTGCCAATTACTGTTCATATGTTTGATCTTCCTAAAGAAGACCTTTCAACATTTCATATAACACTGGTTTGGTGGTGTTGAACACCCTTAGCTTCTTCTTGTCTGGGAAGCTCTTTATCTGTCCTTCAATTCTAAATAATAGCTTTGCTGTGTAGAGTAATCTCGGTTATAGGTCCTTGCTTTTCATCACATTGAATATTTCTTGCCAATCCCTTCTGGGCTGAAGTTTCTTTTGAGAAATCAACTGACAGTCTTATGGGAGCTCCCTTGTAGGTAACTGCTTTTCTCTTGCTGATTTTAAAATTCTCTTTTTGTCTTTGACCTTTGGCATTTTAATTACGATGTGTGTTGGTGTGGGCCTCTTTGGGTTCATCTTGTTTGGGACTCTCTGTGCTCCCAGGACTTGTGTGTCTATTTCCTTCACCTAGTTAGGGAAGTTTTCTGTCATTATTTTTTCAAATAGGTTTCCAATTTCTTGCTCTTTCTCTTCTCCTTCTGGCACCCCCATGATGAGAATATCACTATACTTGAAGTTGTCCCAGAGGCTCCTTACAATAGCCTCAATTTTTTTGGAATCTTTTTTCTTTTTTGTGTTCTGATGGGTTGTTTTTTGCTTTCTTGTATTCCAAATTGCTGATCTGATTCTTGGCTTCATCTACTCTACTATTGATTCTTTGTAAATTGTTCTTTATTTCAATTAGTGTATTCTTTGTTTTTGACTGAATATTTTTTATGCCGTTGAGGTCCTGACTAAGTGTATTGACTATTTTTATAACCAGCGTTTTGAACTCTGGATCTAGTAGATTGCTTGTATCCATTTTGTATAGTTATTTTTTTGGAGTTTTGTTCAGTTCTTTCACCTGGGCCATGGTTCTTTGTCTCCTCAGTTTGGCAGCCTCCCTGTGTTTGTTTCTGTGTATTTGGTGTAACTGCTACATCTCCTAGGGTTGGTAGAGTGGCCTAATGTAATAGATGTTCTATAGGGTCCAGTGGCACAGCCTCCCCTATTATCCAAGCTGGGTACTTGAGGTATACCCACTGTCTGGGTTGTGTATACCCTCCTCTTGTAGTTGAGCCTTGATTGCTGTTGGCACATCAAAGATCAGCCACCCTCTTGTGTTCTGTCCCAGGTCATACAACATAAGCTACAAAGCGATCCGAAGATGGCTGCTACTTGTGCTGTAGGTGCCAAGGAGCGGCCAAGCTGTGAACCCAGGCTGGCTACTGCTAGTACTGGACCTGGGGCAACTTAGTGAGAGTTATAGGGCTCGGGGAGGTCAGATGCTGCTTATTTGAGAGAATTTAGGAAAATTCTCTCCTGAAGCATAGCCAAAATAAGCCATTCATATGGAAAAGCTACTGGAAACAGCTTGGGTGGGCCCTATAGGGTGGGGCAGGACCTCAGGGAGTCATCAGGGTGGGGAAAACAATGTAAGCCAGTTTGATGGAGTCTCAGATAATGGTGCATGCCTGCCAGCTCTGTGATTCTGTTAGGGGAGGGCTCAGAAAATGAACAATGGCCTTTGCCAGCACCTATCTTTGGGGAAAAGTTGCCTCCCAGCTACTGCCCTGATGCTTTCCCATATTGTCTCTGATGCCTTTTAGTCTGCTTTCCCTGCACTGGAGCTCAGAAGTAAGTCTGTGCATGGGCCCTTTAAAAGGAACTGTCTAAGACTCCACCAGTTTGTCTTCTACAACCTCATTCCCTGCTGGTTTTATACAGCCAGAAGTTACAGAGACTTATCTCCTTGGCACTGGAACCCTGGGTTGGAGGGCATATTATAGGGCTGGCTCCTCTCCTGTGATGTCCCTCCTGATTTTTATCTGCACACAGAGGTGTGGGATCAGTCCTTAATTCCCTAGTTATAGGACTTCAACTCTTTTTAATATCTGATGGTTCTGAATGATAGTTGTTCTGTAGTTCAGTTGTAATTTTGATGTGTTTGTGTAAGGAGTCAAGCCGTGTTTACCCATGCCACCATCTTGACTGGAAGTCCAAGAATTCGTCTTTTAACCAATTATTGGCATAGAGGAGGCATAGGCTTTGGGTGTTCTCATTGGGACCCGTATCTGAATTTTAAAGAAACTTGTCTATTTTACAGAGTACTGATGACTGAGATTGGTGACAATTTGGATAACTCAGATATGTCCTCATTAATTTTTCTCATGAGGGATTATATGGGCCGAGGCAAGACAGCCAAGAACAAAGATAAGGTGAGTTTTTTTTTCTTGGTTCATATTCCCAAGAGCCTATCAGAAGTTGGAGGATACTCTCTACAGTGTGAAGAGAGGGAAGCAGGCATTTCAGCAGGGAGGCCCAAGATGGGGGTGAAGGCAGAAAGTGAGAGGAGTGTGGTTTTTAAAAAATGAGTAATTAAAGATTTTATTTATTTATTCTTAGAAGGGAAGGGAGAGAGAACAAGAGGGAGATAAACATCAATTGGTTGTCTCTCGTATGCTCCTTGACTGGGGACTGGGCCGACAACCCAGTCATGTGTCCTGACCAGGAATTGAACTGGTGACCTTTTGGTTTTGTTACAGAGCGGGGGTGGGGGGAGAGGGCTGAATGATATAAAAGGCCCCCCCCCTTTTCTTTCAGGGGTTCCTCCCAACCTACTGGGTTCGTTTTGCCCGCCCCCTGAGAAGGATGTCTCTTAATACCAGAGATCAGTGAAAAAGAAAGGAATTTATTATTTATTTGAAATAACACAAACTAAAGTTCCCCACAAATGCACACAGTCCTCCTGGCATCCTCCAGGTGGCAAAAGGGAACACTTCCAAAGCCTCGTGGTCCCGACTCTCACCCAAGCCTCATGGTCCCAACCAAGACACCAAAGCTGCGTGGTCCTCAACAGATGCATGGTCCCAAAAAGAGAGACGCCCAATGGCTGCCCTGCCTCCGTCTACATCCCGGCTCCAATCTTCCTCTGCAGCCCCATTTTTGGGCCCTCTCACAATTGGCCACATCTGCCAGCATTCTGGGCAGGTGTGGCCCTGTGGTGTGGAGCCAATTATCTCCAAGCTCTTCTGGACCCTATTACAAATCTATATTTGGGGCTCCCCTCTTGGCTGCATCCTGTTACAAATCCCTCCTTTCAGATATACAACCCCTTTATAATCATATAAAGGACAGTGGATGAAGGTCTCATCTTGTAACTATTTCTGGCTGCACATGGATGTTGTTGTACCTACCCTTGGGTCAGTGGTGTCCTGAAAGAGGGTGGGGAGGGTGCAGCATGGAGGGAGTTCTTTCTGTAAGGGAAAGGACCTTACAGAATCCAGGTCGGTTGGCTGTCACCAGGAAGTTGCAGGCTCAATATCCAAAGGCTGTCATTACTGGACGGACAGTTGGCATCCTAGTCATATTCTGGAGATGACAGATTTAGAAGGAGAGTTGGAAGCACAATTAAATCATAACCACTAAATGATAAAGGCAGGAACTTGGGTAAAGAATGGCTTATCTGTAGCAAGGCATGCTACACCTATCCAAAACCCTTGTGGCCCACTATACTTTACTTGGGCTGAGGGGTATGTATTAGGGTTTCCCTCCTTTCAGATTTCTGGGCCCTTTCTGTCCAAGCCTTTAGGACAGAAAAGGGAAAATCAGTTCTAAAATGAAGCCCACAGGCCACCCCAACCCAACCACTTAGTTTAGTCATACCATTGAGTCTCAGGGTGAGATGATGAGGATGCACTCCTTAAGTGAGGCCTATATTGCAACCAATCACTCAGGTAATTAGGTCCTAGGCATATGCCCTATGAAAACAGAAGGAAGAACACATGTTAATTTACACAAAAATTCCCAAGCCAGTCTCTGTGCCGGTGAGGGAGCCTTTAGATTGAATTCTCATTCCGTCTCCCAGGGCACAGAAGCAGAGCCATACATCTGCCATCTGGCTTCGCCTGTACCAGTTGTTTCACTCAAATCCTTGAGGCTTCCATTGTGCCTACAGGTTCCTTTTTGGCCATCTTTCAGGAAAGCAGCCTTTGTTCCTTCCCTGGAAAGACTGCCACAAACCACACAACCAACCAAAGTACCAGGCCTTTTCTCGTGGGCTTTTGCTAGCTTCACAGGTCAGTCCCAGTCATCAGGGCTTTCTGGTGACGACCAGAACCCAGACATGCCTCCTTCAGGCATGACATTCCAGTTAAAATTTCAATTAACAAATTGCCATATGACTGGTCTTAATAGATTTACGCAAAGAAACCTTATGTAATGCCAAATTTTTGAGGTATCAGGGAGAAAAATATCAAGTGCAAAGGAAAATCCTTTTTCTTTATATATTTCTTTCTTTTTATATTTATATAAGGAAAATCCTTTATTTATATATTTTACACTTTTCCATGTTCATTTTTTTTTACAGGGTGTGAGGTTTTAACCTTCCCTAGAATCCTCAGTTTCCTTTGTAGAGCAGATTGGCAGAGACATGCTGATTAGCCTCAGGCTAAAGTACTCATCAGCCCTGAATGACCTTTCCTGGGTCCAGATCGGCAAAGACATTCTCCCCAACTGGTTACTGGCGACCTTTCTTAGGTCTTTACTTACAGAGATGAGCTCCTTTGCCTCAACTAAAGCACTGATCAGCCCTGACCCTTCCTGGGTCCAGATCAGCAAAGACATTCTCCCCAACTGGTTACTGGCGACCTTTCCTAGGTCTTTACTTACAGAGACGTGCTCCTTTGCCTCAACTGAAGCACTGATCAGCCCTGACCCTTCCTGGGTCCAGATGGGCAAAGACATTCTCCCCAACTGGTTACTGGCGACCTTTCTTAGGTCTTTACTTACAGAGACATGCTCCTTTGCCTCAACTGAAGCACTGATCAGCCCTGACCCTTCCTGGGTCCAGATGGGCAAAGACATTCTCCCCCAACTGGTTACGGCGACCTTTCTTAGGTCTTTACTTACAGAGACATGCTCCTTTGCCTCAACTGAAGCACTGATCAGCCCTGACCCTTCCTGGGTCCAGATGGGCAAAGACATTCTCCCCAACTGGTTACTGGCGACCTTTCTTAGGTCTTTACTTACAGAGACATGCTCCTTTGCCTCAACTGAAGCACTGATCAGCCCTGACCCTTCCTGGGTCCAGATGGGCAAAGACATTCTCCCCAACTGGTTACTGGCGACCTTTCTTAGATCTTTACTTACAGAGACATGCTCCTTTGCCTCAACTGAAGCACTGATCAGCCCTGACCCTTCCTGGGTCCAGATGGGCAAAGACATTCTCCCCAACTGGTTACTGGCGACCTTTCTTAGGTCTTTACTTACAGAGACATGCTCCTTTGCCTCAACTGAAGCACTGATCAGCCCTGACCCTTCCTGGGTCCAGATGGGCAAAGACATTCTCCCCAACTGGTTACTGGCGACCTTTCTTAGGTCTTTACTTACAGAGACATGCTCCTTTGCCTCAACTGAAGCACTGATCAGCCCTGACCCTTCCTGGGTCCAGATGGGCAAAGACATTCTCCCCAACTGGTTACTGGCGACCTTTCTTAGGTCTTTACTTACAGAGACATGCTCCTTTGCCTCAACTGAAGCACTGATCAGCCCTGACCCTTCCTGGGTCCAGATGGGCAAAGACATTCTCCCCAACTGGTTACTGGCGACCTTTCTTAGGTCTTTACTTACAGAGACATGCTCCTTTGCCTCAACTGAAGCACTGATCAGCCCTGACCCTTCCTGGGTCCAGATGGGCAAAGACATTCTCCCCAACTGGTTACTGGCGACCTTTCTTAGGTCTTTACTTACAGAGACATGCTCCTTTGCCTCAACTGAAGCACTGATCAGCCCTGACCCTTCCTGGGTCCAGATGGGCAAAGACATTCTCCCCAACTGGTTACGGCGACCTTTCTTAGGTCTTTACTTACAGAGACATGCTCCTTTGCCTCAACTGAAGCACTGATCAGCCCTGACCCTTCCTGGGTCCAGATGGGCAAAGACATTCTCCCCAATTGGTTACTGGCGACCTTTCTTAGGTCTTTACTTACAGAGACATGCTCCTTTGCCTCAACTGAAGCACTGATCAGCCCTGACCCTTCCTGGGTCCAGATGGGCAAAGACATTCTCCCCAACTGGTTACTGGCGACCTTTCTTAGGTCTTTACTTACAGAGACATGCTCCTTTGCCTCAACTGAAGCACTGATCAGCCCTGACCCTTCCTGGGTCCAGATGGGCAAAGACATTCTCCCCAACTGGTTACTGGCGACCTTTCTTAGGTCTTTACTTACAGAGACATGCTCCTTTGCCTCAACTGAAGCACTGATCAGCCCTGACCCTTCCTGGGTCCAGATGGGCAAAGACATTCTCCCCAACTGGTTACTGGCGACCTTTCTTAGGTCTTTACTTACAGAGACATGCTCCTTTGCCTCAACTGAAGCACTGATCAGCCCCTGACCCTTCCTGGGTCCAGATGGGCAAAGACATTCTCCCCAACTGGTTACTGGCGACCTTTCTTAGGTCTTTACTTACAGAGACATGCTCCTTTGCCTCAACTGAAGCACTGATCAGCCCTGACCCTTCCTGGGTCCAGATGGGCAAAGACATTCTCCACAACTGGTTATTGGCGACCTTTCTTAGGTCTTTACTTACAGAGACATGCTCCTTTGCCTCAACTGAAGCACTGATCAGCCCTGACCCTTCCTGGGTCCAGATGGGCAAAGACATTCTCCCCAACTGGTTACTGGCGACCTTTCTTAGGTCTTTACTTACAGAGACATGCTCCTTTGCCTCAACTGAAGCACTGATCAGCCCTGACCCTTCCTGGGTCCAGATGGGCAAAGACATTCTCCCCAACTGGTTACTGGCGACCTTTCTTAGGTCTTTACTTACAGAGACATGCTCCTTTGCCTCAACTGAAGCACTGATCAGCCCTGACCCTTCCTGGGTCCAGATGGGCAAAGACATTCTCCCCAACTGGTTACTGGCGACCTTTCTTAGGTCTTTACTTACAGAGACATGCTCCTTTGCCTCAACTGAAGCACTGATCAGCCCTGACCCTTCCTGGGTCCAGATGGGCAAAGACATTCTCCCCCAACTGGTTACTGGCGACCTTTCTTAGGTCTTTACTTACAGAGACATGCTCCTTTGCCTCAACTGAAGCACTGATCAGCCCTGACCCTTCCTGGGTCCAGATGGGCAAAGACATTCTCCCCAACTGGTTACTGGCGACCTTTCTTAGGTCTTTACTTACAGAGACATGCTCCTTTGCCTCAACTGAAGCACTGATCAGCCCTGACCCTTCCTGGGTCCAGATGGGCAAAGACATTCTCCCCAACTGGTTACTGGCGACCTTTCTTAGGTCTTTACTTACAGAGACATGCTCCTTTGCCTCAACTGAAGCACTGATCAGCCCTGACCCTTCCTGGGTCCAGATGGGCAAAGACATTCTCCCCAACTGGTTACTGGCGACCTTTCTTAGGTCTTTACTTACAGAGACATGCTCCTTTGCCTCAACTGAAGCACTGATCAGCCCTGACCCTTCCTGGGTCCAGATGGGCAAAGACATTCTCCCCAACTGGTTACTGGCGACCTTTCTTAGGTCTTTACTTACAGAGACATGCTCCTTTGCCTCAACTGAAGCACTGATCAGCCCTGACCCTTCCTGGGTCCAGATGGGCAAAGACATTCTCCCCAACTGGTTACTGGCGACCTTTCTTAGGTCTTTACTTACAGAGACATGCTCCTTTGCCTCAACTGAAGCACTGATCAGCCCTGACCCTTCCTGGGTCCAGATGGGCAAAGACATTCTCCCCAACTGGTTACTGGCGACCTTTCTTAGGTCTTTACTTACAGAGACATGCTCCTTTGCCTCAACTGAAGCACTGATCAGCCCTGACCCTTCCTGGGTCCAGATCGGCAAAGACATTCTCCCCAACCCATTACAGGCGACCTTCCCTAAGTGTTCAGATAAACAAAACTAAATTGCAACCACATTTCCATAAAACCAGAAAATGAGTAGTTGAGGTTTCCTTTCCTCCAGGTTTAAAACTTTCACAACCTTTCCTACATAGTTTTACCCATCCAGATTTAACCATAATCCATTTTTAATCCCTGTTCCTTTCCCACACTGGGAAGGACTATACTTAAACTCAGTACTTAAACTCAGTATGTGGCGGCCAAAAGTCCCCAGCACTGTAGGCACCTTCCACTTAAAAGTCCCTAGATTCGTAGGGACATCCTGCAGCTTTTTGAAGCTTAGACCTTGCAAACACCCTATAAATCAGATGGTCACCCTTGGACCCCAGTTCACGACCTTCAGAACCAGAGCCCTATCAGAACCAGTTGCACAGAGAACCTGACTGGTGCAGTGCCCACACAGCAGCAACACACAGCCCATAATCCGAAGAGAACCTTAGCCACCTCCTTGCCCAGTTCCAAGATGGCAGGACTCTCACCTGACCCATAATCCAAGACGGTGGTGCCCAGGCACACTGGATTGTCCAAGATGGCAACGCCCATGCACGACCCACCCTCCACGGTGAGACACTCCCGTGGCTCGTCCTCCATTTTACCTAAAATAGCAGTGCACCCATGTCTGATCCCCACCATACATGCAGGCTCGGCTTACAGAGCCCAGGGGTTTGCTTCCTCCACAAACCTGAGCACAGGTTCCCTTAGTGCCCCGTGGGCTCACCGAGAAACTGTGAGAAGACGGGGGAAACCTGGAAGCAGGATACTAACCAAACCATTATCCACAACCCCATTATTCCAAAATGGTATTCAGAAACAATGTTTCAACCAAACCATTTCACTTCTCTGCTCCCTTTCCCGTTTCGTTTCCTTTTCCCCCTTTCCGGGCATTATTAGGCATTTGATGCCCTCAGGAGGAGTGCAGAGAAATTCTCAGAAACTGGGAATATTTCTAAATCTCACTGTCCCACACCTGAGGGGGTCGGTCTGCCATGGGCAATTATTGTCCCGGCAGAGTCGCCCAAAACTGTTATAGAACAGAGAGGGGGTGGGGGGAGAGCTAAATGATGTAAAAGACCCCCCCTTTATCTCCAGGGGTTCCTCCCCACCTACTGGGTTCGTTTTGCCCATCCCCTGAGGAAAGATGTCTCTTAATTCCAGAGATCAGTGAAAAAGAAAGGAATTTATTATTTATTTGAAATAACACAAACTAAAGTTCCCCACAAATGCATACAGTCCTCCTGGCAACCTCCAGGTGGCAAAAGGGAACACTTCCAAAGCCTCATGGTCCCGACTCTCACCCAAGCCTCATGGTCCCAACCAAGACACCAAAGCTGCGTGGTCCTCAACAAATGCGTGGTCCCGAAAAGAGAGACGCCCAATGGCTGCCCTGCCTTCGTCTACATCCCAGCTCCAATCTTCCCCTGCAGCCCCATTTCTGGCTCCTCTCACAGTTGGCCACATCTGCCAGCATCCTGGGTCGGTGTGGCTTGTGGTGTGGAGCCAATTATCTCCAAGCTCTTCTGGACCCTATCACAAATCTCTATTTGGGGCTCCCCTCTTGGCTGCACCCTGTTACAGTTTGAGGGATGATGCCCAAACCAAACTGAGCCACATTGGTTAGGACATTGGTTTAATTAATTAATTAATTAATTAAAATAATAACATGATGGTAAGAAAATTGGCTTATAAGTTGAGAGGAAACAAGGTGATATTTTCTAGTGTGGCCCTGTTTGTTTCTCTCATCCATGTATTTTATTCTTTACTTGTGTTAAATTCATAGGCCTGGGTTATACATCAGTTTTCTTCCCAGTCTGACAGATCATCTGGTGTACAGGTAGTTTCATCTGCTCACGCTGAATAGAAACAGGTGAGAAGTGCTAATCCACTCTCATCTTGTTCTCTTACTTATATGTCTTCCTCCTCAGCCAGCTCAAGGTCAGCGTGGAGTCATTAGGCTGCATGTGGAGATACGCCCTTATGACTAATATATCCAGAATGGCATAAGTAGAGACTTGGGAATGAAAACTAGATAGAGGGTGAAGATCTCAGGGATGTTGTGATTTCTAGGAAAGTATTTAAATTCCAGCTGGCCTTATATGGTACTGCTGACCTAAGGACAGGCCAGGAAGAGCTCAGGCCTCTAGTATTTGACAGTACATCCATAAGGGACCTGCTTCTGAGGGTAAGTCATTGCTTGGGGATTTCCTCATGTTTCTCAATAATTACAGATTCTGAAATCCAGGAATGCAGAGTGATTGTATTCCCCCACCATCAAATGGAAAATAGGAAGGAAAAGGAAAAAAAATTGAACTCTCTTTTTGGTGTCCTCTAATCAACTTACCTCTCAATCATTTATATGGATTTAATTATGGTTACTATATTTAAAAATAAATAGCACTTAAGAAAACAAAGGTTAAACAGAAGGGAAATAAAACCAGAAGCAATGCCTATTTTTGCAATATAGTTCTTTCACAATTGTTGTGGCCTGGGGTAAATGAATAGCAAAATGCCCTAACCTTGAGATTTTGCCACCTCATATGCTCTGAGTCAGAATGAATTGGAATATCCAGCACTGATTAAAACGTATCATTGGGATTTTTTTAGTAAGAACTTTCCCCAAACTACCTTCTCTCTTACTTTTTCAGGAAAGCCCTTAGAGTGTTTCAGTAGAATACTAGCTTGATTTTCAAGAGAAAAAACTCAGGAGGGTTTTACTGTATTCTTAGGCCTGCTCTCTCACCATATTCCTTGATGACACAAAATGGCCCAAGTGTCCATCTCCAACCTAGGTACAGGTTGACCACCAAAAGACTTCTCACTACCTCTTTGCTCAGTAAAATTCAGGAGTGTATAGCGTCCACCCTTGGAGGCACTATCAAACAGAGAGATTTGGTTTAGGATCCCTGAAGGTCTGAAGATGCTCCCCTTGCTACCTCTTCTTGCTGTTATGAACCATGGCCTGAAGTTTTGTGTCTGGGACTTAATAGTCAGCCCTACTGACATTTATTTCTTACTGGTGCCTCTCTTAGAGTTTCTTGGATCTTGTGATGGAATTGGAGAAACTAAATCTGGTTGCTCCAGATCAATTGGATTTATTAGAAAGATGCCTAAAGACCATCCACAGAATAGACCTGAAGACAAAAATCCAGAAATACAAGCAGTCTGGTAAGTAGAATTTTGGCCTCTTGGTGGCTAAGTACCCTGTGCATGGTAGATTGGGTTGGTAAATATTCATTGTTGGCTGGGTAGATGGAACAGAACCTGAATATTCACAGCCCCCGCTAGCCTGTAATTAGAGATCATATCCCTTTATACCCTTCATAGCCCAGATCTGCCGACTTCATCACTTCAGGCCCATGACCACGGAATCTTGGCCTTCCCCAGCGTGCCACCAAGCAGTTCTTAACACTCCCGCCTCCAAGAGAGAGTTTACACTCCCATTTTCTGCACCAGGGGGAGGTTCTGTGGACATTCAGGGCTTTCGGATATATGCTGAGCTCTGCTGCTTTGCTCCAGCATTTGCCTTGACCACCACCTGACTCTGGGTGGCATCTGTCCTGTGACTGGGGTCTCAGAGCTGCTCTTCATGTATTCTGAGTTTCACAAAACCTTTTCATGAAAAAGGGTGTCTTTTCTGCTGATAACCCCTTCCTTGGTAAAGGGGATCAGATTCACACTGGCCTTCTCTTCCATGCCACCCCTCCCCCATTGTCTTTTAGACTCAGCATCAGCTTGGGCTCTGTTATCAGTCCACTGCCACCAGTTACAGCCTGAAGGGCGTGGCTGACACCCAGTGATCCATAGACTTTCCCCCACCCATCCCCACCCCCAAATGAATGGTAAGAGTAGCATTTTTAGTTTTAAAGACACTGGTAGAAGAGTCGTCTGATCTGATATTTTGAATTAAGGAGGTTGCTGGAAAGGTTAGGGTATTTTCAAAGATGAAGAGTGGCCTTGGACTGAGCCATTGTTGAAGATTCATTTGATAATAATTGAAAAACCTTAACTCAGAATCTCTTTTCTGCTTACAGCTCAAGCAACAGGAACAAATTATATAAATGCTCTCCAGGCCTCTCTCCCAAACCTGAGTCTTAAGGATCCTTCTTATAACTTAAGGGTGAGTCTGGAGCAATATTATGGAATCCCAGCATGAAACAGCTTCAGAAAGTTAATTAAAATATACATGTTCTCACAGTATGTACTTTAAAATATGGAAGAATTTTGACAGAAATATGCATTTATTTTAATAAAATATGTGTAACTTCTTATGACAATAAACACATGTTTATTGAAATAATTTGGAGAACACAGAGAAATATAAACAAAGAAGTATAAACTACCTCTGTCCCACAATGCACAGATAACCACTGTATTCTCATTATGTTCCTCTCTAATCACTTTTGTACATCTTTTGGCATATTACATATATAACCAAACATTTTTTCATTGTTCATTTGTTCCTTTGAAAATTTAGCTTTTTAAATAAAATTGGGCAGGACATGCCCATGGACAAAAATAATTCAAAACGGTACAAAAGTCTTTTTGAAGTATATTTCCTTTCAGAAGCAACTGTGATTAACTATTTTCTTCTCTAACCATCCAAAGATAGTCTATACACATATCAAATTTCATTTTTGTTTTATGCATTGTCCTGATCTGGGAATTCTTGGAAATTATTCCATATGATCCTATGTAACTGTGCTTGTATTTGATCATTGTTTTAATGGTTACACATGGTTCTACTTTTAGATGTATAACAATGCGTTTAACCTTTTTTTATGTATGTGTATTTAGATTATTTCCAATCTTTTGTTAATACAAACAGTGCTTCAAAATAAATACCTTTGTATTTACCTCTCTGGGCATTTGCTTTTTATTGAGCTTATTTTAATGACTTCGGCACATGTGTTTTTGTTACTGAGAGATGTTACTGATTTGTGTACACATAAATATCACATAGTCACTTCTGGTTTCTGTGATAGTAGATGGTGCAAGGCATTCTCAGAATTGTTCTTTGGTTAATTTTTCTGTTCTGAGAAGTTAATCTTATTGTAATCTCATCCTCATCCCTATATAAAAATATATGGAATCTGTAGTGAGGACTTAGACCACGGTGCAATTTCATGGTTAAATTACAAACACTTTCATAACTACTCCTGTGATATAAATAGTTTCATGAAGAACATGAGCTATAAGGGATACCACTGAGCAATGGAAATCAGAGCTAAAATGTTTGTTAAGGATTATACCACCCGGCCCCTCATTGAACAAATAAGAAAACACAGTCCTACAGAACATTAAGTGATTACCCACCTCCAGCTATCACCCGATTTGGGCCCAGTCCCTGCTCCTTCCTCTACTTTGTGGTGTATTTAATAAACTGCATACTAGACATGCCATCACTTAGATATAGGTATCATTTTTCAAGAACCAATTATGATTTCATCTTTCTGATCTTTGTGATACGAATCATGAGACAAAACTGATTTAGGATGCAGACCTAGATTTTTCTGAGCCTCCTCTGTTACTGTCTATTTAATATGAATTATGTTATCATTCTTAGTTAAAAGCCTGTCATATTTTTACTATTGCCTTTCTGTTTTGCTAATGAAAGTGTTCATTGTCTGTGTAGCCTATTGAGAACTCAGATGCTTTGTGTGTAAACTTCTTAAATTTGGTGTATTAATCTGTGACCCTGATCATCCATTCATTTAGTGATTAGGCACCATAGCATGTGAATTCAATGAATTTCTCACAAGATTTAGGAACTGAATACCTGGCTATTAACTCATACAAGGCTGCAAAAGTGCTTTAAAAGTTACAGTGGTATTAAATGACACATGATACCAACATATTATAGAATTGAATGCTCTTTATTTGATATTATTTTTTTGCAATATAATGCTTTTAAAATGTAACTTTGATGTAATGTTACATGTTTTTAATAGTATGTAAAAGTGAATTCATATCCATATGGGGCTGGAACTTCTATTTGGTATCATCAACCTATGGCTAAGTCACTGGTTACTAGGGATAAAAGGAAGTGACATGTTTTTCTTTAATTTAGACACATAGACTTAAAGTCATAGCTTAATGAACAGTCTACTTCTCTCTTTTGGCTAGGATAGATTCAGAGGAGAACTGTCATTTGAAAGCTGAGCGTATCAAATGATTGACAGTATGTGATATGTGTACCTTACACAGGACCTGTCATCTAAGAAGAGAAAGGGTTCGTTCAATCTTCATTCTCTGATTAATCCCACTGTAGCTCTCACAAGTGGTAGCTGTTATCAAGAATCAAGCCCACATGTGGCTTATGTATAGCTTGGCAATGATGGAAAAACAATAACTGGACGTTTATTAAGCACTTCCATGTGCTAGGCACTGTCCTGAGTGTTTTGTATCTATTTAACTTTCTCCCCAAATTTATAAGGTGGATACTATTACTGTCCTCATTCTGAAGACAAGAAACAGACATATAGAAGTTAAATAACTTTTTTGAAGTTACATAGCCAGTAACTGGCAGAACTGAGATTTATAACAAGGTTTGTCTGGGCTAGAATTCCCACTCTTATACATACATTGCCTCTATGTTAAAGGATCAGGTCGAAGGTAAATTGCATGTTCTAACAACTTGTTCAGTCTTAGAGTTCTTATAGTAACTCTACCATAACATCTGACTTCATTGAGCTGTTTTGAAACATTCTGATATGCTAGTTTAGCATATGTACACATTAATTGTATATTCACTTCTTGAAAAAGAGTTGCCTTGTTCTTTGGCTACAAGATATAGGACTCATGGAGTTAATGGCTCTTGCTATCCTTCTTTAGGTAATTTGACTATGGATATGATATTTTCTTTTCCCGGGGTAAAAATCTTACTGAGATATTTAAAGCTGTGTACTGTAATGTGACTCTGAAAGCCTAACAGGGACTATGACCTTATTCTTTATATTTGAAGCTTCAGAATGGGAGAAGTAAAGAACAGAGACTCGTGATGAGACAGCCTGACATTCAAAGTAAGACTGGCTTCTCTTTATGTTCCTTCTTTATAAATGCTTGACAATTCCAGTATAAAACGTTTTGTTTTTTAGAGTTGGCCATTTTCTTTATCTATACATTCTAATTAAAAGCCCTCAAAAAATAAAAAGCAGTTAGACTTTTAAAATGTATTCATTGGTGTTTCTAGTTATTCACTTACAGTATTTGAATCTAAACACCTTTTACTTTATCAGCTTCAACATCTTAGTTATATATTTTGTAGAAATGTGACATTTCTACCTGAAATGGAACAGTAACCAGGCCATGGTAATCATTAAGCTAGCCATGATAATGAGCCATGTTAAACCAAGTATCAGAGCAGGAAGAAGAAAGGTTGCTAGGGTCTTCTTTTATAAGCCCATTTAATAAATTTATGTACTCTCTAGATGACCTCCCCTAAAAAAAAAAAGAAAAAATACAATAAAAATCTAGTTATTTCTACCTGTACAATCTATCTCATCTCTCTTAAAATATCAGTACTCATTCTCATCTTTTTTTAAAGTGTATTTCTTTTGCTTGTCTTGAGTCCTCCTTTAAGACTGAGACTCAGCAGTGGAGATGGTTGTGCTTCAGAACTCCTAGAGGCAGGCAGAGATTGACAGGCAGGTAAGCAGGGCTTGCTCAGTCTTAACTGGGGAGCCTGCACTTTGTCCTTTGTGCAGCGGAGATCATGAACATTGTAGTAGGGCAGTGGCCTGATGGGCGCCGTCTTTGTGTGGCAGCCTGTATGCTGCCCACTCACACCTGGAAACAAAAGCATTTTGCCCAGATTAGCCAGATGGTGAAGCTCTTGCCTGTCATATCCTACCTAAAATTCTACTCTCCAGGAAAAGTTACTGAGGAGTAAATTAATTCCTGAAATTACAGCATTTTTTAAAACACTGGTGAGGTGGAAAGAACTAGCATTCTGGAAGCCGTTTAAAGGGATATAGGAGAGCTGGTAGATTTGGAGAGGAATTAAAAACAATCTGAGTTCTTTCCATCGTGCTCCCTAATGGCGGGTTTACCCTTGACTGGAATGATCCAGGCAAGGTAACTGAGGCTCCCCACACCCTTGATGATACTTAGGGTAGCTAGTTACCTGCTTTTGCCTGGACATGATTTATTTGTTAATAAAAGAAGGAAACATTCTGATAACTTGACCAAAATCTAACAGAAGTTTAAAATAATCACACCAAGTATTTATATTAATTTGGATTTCTAAAGAGATTTCATCTGGATGATGATGAAGATGATGATAACTATAATTTATTAAGCTCTTACCAAGTGCATTAAACTGAGATAGATAGATACATTACATAGATTTTGTGATTTGTTAATCTGTTATCTAAGATTGCCAAAATTCAAAAAGATAAAGTGAGATTTCCTCTTAATTCTAAGTATCAGATGTAACTACCATTAATGTTTGATTTATATGCCTCTGAGGCCCTTATTTTTCACATGTGGATGTGTAAATATATGAGCACAAATAAATATGTATTTTAAGTACATCGGATCAATATTGTATTATCTAGTAATCCATTTTTTACTTAATATAGCCTGTGTATCTTTTCATGTCAAATACATAAAGATCTCTCTTATCTTTTTTACTATTGCATAGGATTCCATTATATGTACCATAATTTATTTACTCTGTTTCATCTTGGTGTAGACCTTTAGTTTCTTTCTAGTTTGAGGCCATCATGAACAGTCATTCAGTAGATGCCCTTGACATTTTCGCACACTTGCTCTATTATTTCCATTGGATAAACTTCTAGAAGCAGAATGTTGCTTTAAAGGGTGTTGCTAGTCGTTTTTCAGAAAGGCTGTTTTGACTTTTACAGCTTTGTGCTCATTTCCCCCAAATCTTATCAATTTGGACTTTATCTTTGCCTGTCTTTAGACATTATATCCCATTTTTGCAACAATATCATAAAAGCGGGTATTAGTTTGTTCATCTTAGGGATTCAAAGGAACCCTGAGACTGCAGGAGGAAACTTGCCCAAGATCACAAAACTTGCCAGTGATGGGCTGGGGTTTGAGCCAGCCCTCCATGGCTTTACAACTGGTGGTTTCTCTGCCTCCTTGGGCTAATAGCCATTTTTTAAAAATTTTATTTTAATCATTGTTCAAGTACAGTTTTCTCCCCCTAATAGCCATTTTTATCTAACAAAATGGTAAAAGCCTAAAGCCTAAAGGCTCATCTACACTTGCTAAGCTCAGTGTCCCTTATCTTGCCATTGACATTTCATTTTATGATCTCCTAGTGTCACTGGACTAAGGAAGCATGGCCATCTGTTCAGTCGCTAAGGCTGTTTGTTCCCTTGGGTGTTGCCCACAGCTGGAGTACACAGGATGTAGGAAATACTGATATTGTTTGCAGTGAAGTTGTTGGATTTTCCCTATCAGGTTAAAAGCTCACCAGTCACCTGGTTTTCACTTGGAGAAGGGCAAGGAAGAGCCTTCCTTCACTTGCTACTTCAGTAGTTTTTTCCATAGCTCCTGTTTAACATGGAGACTTGGTTTTCTTACCAGTTTTTCACTGAGAGGTTAGAACCTTGGGGCTGAGTATAGCTGAGGAAAGGAGTTTGGGGAAGAAAATAGAGGAAGAGACAATTGTGAAATGAGGAAATGCAGCCAGCATGGGAGTGGGCTTAGTTCTCCTTCAGCTTTGTAAATGATTTCTGTCTCATTCTCCAGGAGAACCAGTGAAGACATCCATTCAAGAATCAGGAGCATCTTTGCCTCGGGTACAGAATAAATTATCTGATTTGGTATTGTACTGTGTGCACAGTATCTGTGGAGAATACTGACTTCTTTAAAAATATCTGTCGGTTAAGAATTGTTTTTATGTGACAACAATGGGATTTTGAGAGTGTTATTCTCCTGAGTACTTTTCTAAAAGGGAACCTTGGTTGCAGCAATGAAGTGGATTGCATTAGTGGAATGCAGGAAAATTCCAGAGTGGCACTTCTCTTTACAGCTGAGTGATTACTGAACATACTAGCGAGCAGTGAACCTTGACTTGTTCTGGCTTTTTCATAGGCTGATAACCTCTCTGTAAGGAGAGGCAATAGAAGGCCTCGTTTTGTACTAGTTTGGAAAGATCTCGCACAAACTCAGGTTACTAAGAAAAAAGGTGATCTATCTTTTCTCTTTGTTTCTAACTCTCTGTATCCCGCAAAGCCAAGACACATGTAAAGAGACTGCAATTCTCATTAAAATTAAATAAAAGCTGAAATAGCTTGTTGTCTTAAGCGCATTACCTGAATAGAGAAAAATTTTTATACTAATGGGAAATGTCATCTGTGATGACTTCAGGCTCTGTCTCTTGACTGACTTACCTGCCAAAGGAATGTTTAAGAAAATCCAAAAGAAAAGATGGTATATAGGTGGGACCTTGTGGAAACAGCAGTATCCAGAGTCTTTAACAGTCTCTGCTTTCTTTCCTAGCACATACCAGAAGAAAGATACAGGATGCAGAGCAAACCCTTAGGAATCTGCTTGATAATTGATTGCATCGGCAATGACACAGGTAGGTGTGTCTGCTGCAGATTAACTGATGCCTCCACGGTGAGATTGTGGCACAGTCAAGTTGTATTCATCAGTGTGATGACCACTATGCTGCTGTAACAAACCACTGCCACAGTCTGTACAAAGGGGAAATTTCATTTATACCACAGCCTACTGTGGACTGGGCTATACCTGACTATTTAGTCAGGGCATTGACCTCTTTTCCCTTAGATTGTCAAATAAAAAATGACAACAGCCAACATAATGGCCATCTGGTATAAATGAATCAAAATTATACCTATTTTTTTGTCAGATCAGTAAACAATATATTTTTTTGGTGTACTGCAGAATTTTAGTGATTAGTTTATGTGTGCCATGAGATTAAAAAGGTTGAAAATCGCTGGGCTAGAGGGAGCTTTATTCCATGTGGCCCTTTAGTGGCTTCATCATCTAAGGCCTTAGAGTTTTCTACAGGATCCTCTAGATCTAGCTGGTGGATGAAGGAAGTGCATGATCTCACGTACATTGGGGAACCAGGCCTCAGGGTGATATACATCATTTCCACCCATATCCTACTAGTCAGAACTCACTCATGTGGCCTCATCTAATAACCCCACTGGACTAGGAACTTAGTCTAGCTGTGTGTCAGCAGGAAACTGAAAGAGGATTTGGGGAACACAGACCCTTTTGTCTGGCACAAAGGCATAATTTGTGGAAGTTAGTGAGCTTTAGTCTTGTCTTTTCATGCTGGATGCCGTGGCAGGGAGGAGTCTTGGGTTTCTGGGAGTGGTTAAAATGGAAGACTTTCTGGTTTCAGTATTACCAGATACCTCATCATTTCACCCACATAGACCATGAAGCTTTTTTGGAGTACATTAAAGGTATGATAAATGAATGTTCTCTTAGGGGCAATGTGTCACTTAGTTGTACCACCCTGTACTTGGGCTGTTGCCCAGAGCCTGCTACATGTATGTCACTATTTGGATCTGAATTGATTTTTTTATCCAACTGTGGTTGGATGTCTGACTCAGGTGAAATCAGTCACTGGTGATGCATCAAAAAACAATGAGAAGAATCTAGATAAGTGGAATATGGTTAATTATGTTTAATTATTAATCTCTTCTTTGAAGAGGCTGATCATTCTGTTTCCTTTCAACTTTTCAACAGTTAAAAAAACTACATTTCATTGATTATGCTATTACAGTTGTCCCAGTTTTTGCCCTTTGCCCCCCTCCACCTGGTACCCCCCTCCCCTCCAGCAATCCCCCCACTTAGTTCATGTCCATGGGTCATGAACACAAGTTCTTTGACTTCTCCATTTCTATACTATTCTTGACATCTGCCTGTCTATTTCGTACCTACCAATTATGCTTCTTAATCCCTGCACCTTTTCCCCCGTTTTCCCCTTCCCTTTCCAGCTGATAACCCTTCAGATAATTTTCCATATCTGTCATTCTGTTCCTGCTCTGCTTGTTTGTTTGGTTTGTTTTGTTTTTTAGATTCAGTAGTTAATAGGTGTGAATTGTTGCCATTTTAATGTTCATTTTTTAACTTCTTTTTCTTAAATAAGTCCCTTTAACATTTCATGTAATAACGGCTTGGTGATGATGAACTCCTTTAGCTTGACCTGGTCTGGTAAGCACTTTGTCTGCCCTTCCATTCTAAATGGGTGCTTTGCTGGGTAGAGTAATGTAGGTTGTAGTTCCTTGCTTTTCATCACTTTGAATATTTCTTGTCAGTCCCTTCTTGCCTGCAAAGTTTCTTTTGAGAAATTAGCTCATAGTCTTATGGGAACTCCTTTGTAGGTAACTCTGCTTTTCTCTTGCTGCTTCTAAGATTTTCTCTTTATCTTTAAACTTTGGCATTTTAATTATGATGTGTCTTGATATGTTCCTATTAGGGTCCAACTTGTTTGGGACTCTTTGTGTTTCCTAGACTTGTATGTCTACTTTCTTCACCAAATTAGGGAAGTTTTTTTTCATTATTTTTTCAAATAAGTTTTCAATTTATTGCTCTTCCTCTTCTCCTTTGGCATCTCTATGATTCAGATGTTGGTATGTTTGGAGATGTCCGAGGCTTCTTATACTGTCATTGTTTTTTGAATTCTTGTTTCTTTTGCTGTTCTGGTTGAATGCTTATTTCTTCCTTATATTCCAAATCATTTATTTGAACCCCGGGTTCCTTCCCTTCACTGTTGGTTCCCTGTAGATTTTTCTTTATTTCACTTAGTATAACCTTCACTTCTTCCTTTACGTTGTTGCTGTACTCAGTGAGTTCTTTGAGCATCCTGATCACCAGTATTTTGAGCTTGCATATGATAGGTTTGTTTTCTCCATTTCATTTAGATATATTTCTGGAGTTTTGTTCTGTTCTTTCATTTGGGCCATATTTCTTTGTATCCTCAATTTAGCAGCCTCCCTGTCTTTGTTTCTGTGTATTAGGTAGAGCTGCTTTGACTCCCTTAGTAGCATGGTCTGTTGTAGAAAAGCCACCAGTAAATTGTGTGGGGTGGAACCTTAGGTAATCTCCAGGGCAGGGCAACCTACTTCGCCACTTTGTGGTTCTGTTTGGGAGGAGGGCTTGGAGAGGGGACAGTGCTGCTGCCTGGCTTCTGGAGGTTTGCCCAGAACTCGCCCTGTTTCCAGTCACTTTACCCCCTCCCCATATGTGACTGGCACCTTTCTTGCTGTTGCCCTGGTGCTGAATCCAAGAGTGGGTGGGTTTGCATATGTTCTAAGATCATGCAGGCCCTTTAAACTGAGTCTCCTGAAAATCCCATAATTTTTTTCCTCTGCCCAACCCCCACTGGTTTTTATAGCCAAAAGTTATGGGGATTTATCTTCCAGGTGCTGGAACCCTGGGCTGTACAGTTAGGCCTTGCGCTGGGATCACTGGCTCCCAGTTTATCCCTCCCAGTTTTTCTCTACTACATGTGAGTGTGGGACTGCCCATTCTGCAACCACCACCTCTCCACCTGTCTCTGTCTCCACCCCTCCTACTTGTCTGGATGAGTATGGCTTCTTTAAATCCTTGGCTGTCAGACTGCCATACAGTTTGATTTTCTGACCGTTCTGGGTATTATTTGTTTTGAGGTTTAGTTGTAATTCTGTCTGTGGTTGCATGAGGCAAAACATGTCTACCTATGCCTCCATCTTGACCAGAAGTCCTTTCTTCCTAAGAAATGCTCTCCTGGTCTCAAGTGGGCTCTGGTGGACACGGGAATTCTGTAGGAACCTCACTGCTGTGGCAATCAGTGGCTCTCAGTGCATCACGTTTTCTGTGCCTGGAGAAGTTTGTCTGACCTGGATGCTTTGCCTGCTCCAAGGACGCTGTCTTTCTGAGGCATAACTAATCTTCCAACATTTTCTTAGAATGAGTCAGAGGTGTCTGTTAGGCTCATTTAAAATGTTATCATGGTGAGATTTATGGGAAAGAGAATCTAACAGAATATCAAATTAGCAAATACTAGGCTGAAAGTCTCAGGCTGATTTCATTATGATCTCCTGTTCTCATGTCCTACTATTTTTGGTTAAATATGATGACAAATGCCATTTTCTTAGCTATAGATAAGTGTCCTTTCTTTGGTAGCCGTTAGTACCCATGTAAGGAAGGAAGAGAAGATATTTTCTCAATGAGTAATATCCTGCTTTAAAAGAGACTATGTAATTGACTTCTACTTTCTATTTTAATTAGTTCTGTTTTACTCATTATAGTTTCCCTGGTGCAAGATGTATGTCTGTTGTATAAAGAGAATTATAAAGATAAAGCCATGGGCTGCTGTGAATTTGTGGCTAAAAGCCATTGTCTATGCTTGCTTCCCTTGCTGGGCTGTGGGACTCTTGCCAGCAAGGACTGAATGAATATTTGTATAATTCTGCATTTTAGCAGTATGGTTAGAGTTGGACCCTATAATACGGCTGCATGGGTGTGAATCATTGGCATTAAAGTGGAATGCCAAGGGGTCTCGAATCCATCACAGGCCCAGCTGAGACTCAGCGCAGCAGGGGAGTGCTAATTCATATGAAGTGGAAGGCAGAGTCTCCTCTCGTGCCCTCTCTCTAGGCCTGTGGCTCTTCATTTTCCAGCTACCCTCCTGGTGATTTTTCGCTGAGGCCTGGGATCCTGGTTTGGTTGACAGTAGTCTTCATTACGCCCAGTACTCTGTATTTCCATCTAAACAGTGTGGGGGGCGGTTTCCATCTAAACAGTGTGCTTTATCTAGAGTGATTATGTGGGGCTTCTTTGTGTCTTGCCTAGTTAATTTTGTCATGTTGTTAACATTGACCATTTGGAAGGATTGTAGGAGTCTGGGAATAAACATTATTGCCAAGAGAAACAAGGGAACTGAAAGAAACTAACAGTAATACAATAATACTGACTTTGGGAGTGGTAGTGATTAGAGTATAAAATTATTTAAAAATCTACCATGTGCCAGATGTTAGGGTGGTTGGTGACAAGGGCTGTGAAAGAATTCACAAAGAGAAGAAAGTGCAGAGAGCAAAGTTTTTTTCATTTTTACTTTTCCAAGAGAGGGAAGGGGCTAGATGTGGAGACTGCACCAGCCCTGAGGGGTTAGGGCTCTGGACTCTCATCCTGTGATGGGCGGTGATGGGGCGGTTGTAGAGCAGGGTGTGGAAGGGTCTGGATATTATCTTCGGGTGCAGGGTCCTGGTGTATCCTGCTTTGTAAGTTCCCAGAGCATCTGTGCTTTCAGGGCGCTTCCAGTAATGTTCTAGTCCTGGGGATAAAGACTCATAAAACAGTTAGGGTCATTCATGCCTTATGGGATCCAGTCAGCTCTGGCAAAGAGGGCCTGAAAAGGGGGCTTTTTGTCCTATTACCAGGTACTTTGCCGATTCCTTTACATGGACTCTCACTTAATCTTCAGAAATAATACTGTAAGATAGGTGCTACTGAAACCAGAAGGTTCGTGCTGCCTGCCACCACTCAGCCAAAACGCAGAGACAGGGATTGGGTTATAATTGCGCTTTTATTAATATCAGAGGCCAGCAGTCTGAGAAGGTGAGGGCTAAAAACCCTAACATTCATTTTACCTTGAGCTTTCATAAGCAAGTTTACATGGTGGGGGGGGGGGAGTGGGAATTTGGGAGGGGGAAGTACCCAGGGGGAAGCACAGACTTGCTGTTTGTCTTGGGAGGGGAAGCTGAAAGGGAATTCATGCAGCTCCATCCGAGCTGGCTCTCTCTGTTTAGGTCTTATCTTTTCTGTTTGCATTAGAATTCCTCTCTTCCCCCACGCCTGTGGTTAATGGGCAAGAAGTTACTGTGCTCTCTGGTTAGGAAAGATAAGGTCTTCTAATTTACCAGCTGGCTGTAAATTGCTCAAACTGTTTGGCTTTGTTTAATTTTCAAACAACCAAAAAGTCTCCGTTTCCTCATTCCACTTGCCCAGGAATTTTCCTAGCTTCTTACTATATAGTCTGTTATCCCCATTTTCAAGGTGAGCAACCAGAGCCCAGAGAACTCCCTTCCTAACTTCTCTACTAACTAACATAGCTGGGGTTTGACAGCTTGACTCCAAAGCCTCTGCTTTTAGCTGCTTTGCTATAATGTCAGTTCCATGAGGGTGGGAAGCTTGTCCATCCCTTTTACTGTGTCTCCAGTACCTGAAACAGTGCCTGGCACATAGGAGCCCAGTACATATTTGGTGGGAAAATGAATGAAGGAATATGTGCTTCTAATCTCAGTGTGTTTCTAAAACCATTCCTTTGTATCTGCAGAGTTTAGCAGACTCTCCTATACCTATTTTCTGTCCTCAAAAAAAAGAGACTTTTATCCAGAGAGTATGCTGGTCTTGAAAACATTTGTAGGTTTATTCTTCCTTTATGTCATAAAGGTTTATTGAGCACCTACTAGCTGCAGAATAGCATGCTAGGCCCTATGTGAAGCAAATATGGAGGCAATCAGATGGAGTCTGTTCTTAGAGCCACATTGTGAAAGAGAAGGTGATTTTTGGAGTGGCTTGTTCTCAAGAAGAATCCACAGTAACCTCTTTTTGAAGCAGATGTGGAGGCTTAGGGATTTGGGGCCAGTTCTCTCAGTTTGGTGGAATTAAAAAACGAGTCCTGGTGTTGTGTCATCTGTGTCAGTGACCTTGCAAAATGAGGCCTGTGTCACGTCCTGGTTCTTGCAGTGCCCTGACATAGTGCAGACTTTTGATCTTGTCAGGAATGGAGGAGTGAATGTCCTGTGTCACAGGCAGATGGACTCTGGGCCTTGATCTAGGGATCTGGTTGGTTTGTAGGCTCCTGGATGAATGATGGTGTTTGCAGATTAGGAAGTGTTTCTTCTTCTCTCTCCTCCCCCACTCTTTCTGAGAAGCTTGGAGATTTTTCTGCACTTATTAACCAAGCAAAGACTTTGCTTTTTCTAGCAGATGCTATTTCCCTTGTAAATCTTGAATAAATAAACTTCGTCTTCTAACAGAGCAGCAGGAAATGTGAAAGCCCAGAGGTAGTTTGCTGAGATGCTTTGCAGATGCTGCTGACCCTTTGAAACAGGAAAAGACACCAGGGTTCGTGCTGCCTGTCACGTGCCAAACTCAGTAAGAGACAGGGATTGAATCTTTATGGGTAGTTATTGGGATGGCTGGCAATCTGAGAAGATGGTGGGTTGGCACTCTAATAAAACCATCTTATATATTTTTTTCCAAGCCAGCCTTTTATAACAGGGAATAAACAAGGTATGGTGAGGGGTTTTGAAATTCAGGGAAAATTAGGTGAAAGAAACTGTAGCATTCTCGTCCTGGGCAGTTAGCTGTTCCCAGGGGTGGGTGGTCATCTGGAACACAGTGGCTGGGATGCCTCCACTTGTTCCCCATGCAGTAAAATCTGGCGGTGCCCCAGGAGGTCAGCTGTCTGTTCTGGGAGTGGTGGGGCAAATCTGAAGTTCCTGAAACAACAGTTTTAACATATGCATTACCTACTAGACTTATTAACTATTTACCTTAAACTAAAGTGTTCCAACTCTTGAGCCCCCCATCACCTTCACTTACCAGACCTGTACTAACTGCACTGCACAGCCTGAAAAACCCCGCATCATATTAGAAAGTTGGTTTCTGACAAACAGTTCAAGTTAACAAAGAAAGGTCTGGGTCATGAGTGGGATTTCCAGGGGGAGTAGAATGAGAACTGCAGTTGTTGAAGTTTTATTCTCCTCAGCCCCCGAGTTTTTCTTCCCTATTTGTGGGAAAGAAAGGACAAGGTCATGATGCTATAAAAGGAAACAGAATCTGACTGCTCTGAACCTTTTTAGTTTCGAATACAGAGACCTCTCTGGGTTCCGTGGGAGAGGTGCCCTACAGGCTCTGTGATTTGTGATTTGAAATGGCTGCCTTTGTTTTCTTTAAAATTGTTATGATATGGTTGTAAGCACTCACAGTTTGCAAAGTATCTTGACAGAAACTTCACTGGGTCCTCACAGCCACCTTTTGAGGAACATAGTGTAGGCATTAGTATTCATCCCAATTTATAGACGAGAGTAAACTAAGGCTGTAACTTGTCACGCTGTTACTACCCTCTTGATCCTGTGAACTAGCCTGGACTATCTCTGCGTTCTTGCTGGCCCAGCAAAGAACGTTGCTGTTCCTAGCTGACATCAGTCACCACGCTGCCTCACTGTCTGATAGAGGAAAGGTGTGATATTAAGGGGAAACGTCAGCCTCAATGATTTCAGGCAGGTCTCTTGAATGACTCTCTCCAGAGGGATATTTAAAGGATGCTCTGTCTTGGTCAGAGGCCCCATCCAGATTTGAGTTTTTATTGTCCTATTCTTGGCATTGGGGACCTGTATGGGTTTTGGCTTCACCTCCAGCTTTAGCCTTTTTTCTCCTGTTCTATGTGGTAAGGACTTCGTGCCCTGACCTCAGATTCCCAGCCCCTCTGCTGATGTAAGCTGCTCTCTTTCAGGACTAGGCAAAGTTCAGACTCAGCAAGTAGGGTGAAGAGCCAGGACTTAAACTCGGACCTTGTCAGTTCCAAGACTGGTTCCTCTTTTACCCTGTGCTATGCAGCTGCCTGCTCACTGCCGCATGACAGCCGCTCCTCCTGCAGGAACCTGCCAGAACAGGGAGCCAGATGAAGTGAGGAGGTGGAAGGCACAAGTCAGCATTTGTCATGTGCTGACAGTTCCTCTGTGTGTCAGCATGGAAAGACAGACTGTGGCTTTCTTCCTTTTTTTTTCTTTGGTTTAGCCTTTTTTTTTTTAAGATTTATTTATTTATTTTTAGAGAGGGAAGGGAGGGAGAAAGAGAGAGAGAAACATCAATGTGCCGTTGCTGGGGGCCATGGCCTGCAACCCAGGCATGTGCCCTGACTGGGAATTGAACCTGCGACACTTTGGTTCACAGCCCGCGCTCAATCCACTGAGCTATGCCAGCCAGCGCTTGGTTTAGCCTTTTTTTTTTTTTAATAAGTTTTTGTTTTTTGATTACCCTTGACATACAATATTATATTAGTTTCAGGTGTAAAACTGAGTGATTAGACATTATATAACTTACCAAGTGATCAGCCCAGTAAATCTAGTACCCGTCTGACATCATACATGGTTATTACAATCGTAATGACTATATTTCCTGTGCTGTACTTTACATCCCCATGACTGTTCTGAAACCACCCATTTGTACTTCTTTTTAAAAAATTATTCTTGTTTATTCTATTACAGTTATCCCAGTTTTCCCCCCTTTGTCCTCCTCCACCCAGCCCACGCCCCGCTCCCACAGTCAGTCCCCACACCGTTGTCCATGTCTGTGGGTCATTCATGCATGTTCTTTGACTAGTCCCTTCCCCTCTTTCCACCATTATCCCTCACCCTCCTTCCCTCTGGCAGCTGTCAGTCTGTTCCTTGTTTCCATATCTCCGGTTCTGTTTTCCTTATTAATTTATTTTGTTCATTAGATTTCTCTTATAAGTGATATCATTTGGTATTTGTTTTCTTTCAAGGACTTTGATAAGGGAGGAAATCTATCAGCCAAGAGAGGGTTTTGAAAGTGAACCATTCTGAGATAACAAACAAAGCGTTGAGCCTAGTATTCCCCTATTTGCTTCTGCCCCCTAGAGGAGAAAATATTCCATGATTAGAGAGAGGTGAGTCCTGAAAGAAATCGCTTGGGATGAAACAGCGATGATGGAACCGAGGACCTAGTCCAGGTATTCCTGATGTGCACTCCTGGGTTTCGTCTTGAAGGCAGTGCTGGGAACGGAGGCCTTGCCCCCGCCCCTCGGAGCCCTGGCCAGGGGCAGCGCTGCGGAGCCTCTTCTGCTGCACTGAGGTTCTGTGAAGACATGCGAGTTACTTAATAGAATATCCGCAACACGTGTATCAGGTCTTTTATTTCCCTGATAACACTTATTTAACATAGGGTTTTAAGGAGCTTGGCACCTTCTTTATATCTCTTCATTATTATGTGATATACATAATTAATTTATTTCAGCTTTACCTGTGGGCTAGGCAGGGGAGAAAAGTAAGTAGTCCCACTGTAGTCTTAAGTCTTGGTTATTGCCATTCCCTTTTCTTGATAGGAGAGACCAAAGGATTGAGCTGATGACTTATTTATCTAATAATGTGTGCAAACCACTCCAAAATGTAGCGGCTTAGAAGACCAAAACTAATATCCCTCCCAGTTTCTGTGGCTTAGTTGGGCTGTTCTGGCCCATACTGTCTCAGGAGTGAGTGTCCAGATGTCAGCCCAGGTGATCTGATGCTCAAGTGGGATTAGGGGATCTTCTTCTCAGGTGGTCACCCACATGGCTGGGGAGTTGATGCAAGGTTTTCATTCTTCATGTGGGCTGTCCACGGGACTGCTTGAGTGTTCTCTGGACATGGCAGCTGGTTTACCCCAGCGTGAGCAGTTCAAAAGAGAGAAAGAACGGGGTGGAAGCCACATCCTTTTCAGGATCTAGCTTTGGAAGTTAGAGTATCCCTCCTGTCATGTTCTACACATTAGAAATGAGTTACCAAGTGTGGTTCACATTCAAGAAAAGGGAATATCTCTATATTTTTATGCTTCATTTATGTATTTCCTCTTGATGCTTTTCTGTGATGCCTAAACTAGTGGGAGATGGGATCCCTTTGTTCTGGAAAGGAAGACGGGAAGTAATGTCTGTTCTAATTACTGTTGTGTTGTTTGGTTTGGAGTGAATGCAGTGATAGGCTTCTGGAAGACCATTCCCCAGGGGAAGAAGAGAGATGGGCTGGTAATCATAAGACATGGAAACAAACCCAGAGAAGTTCATGAGCTAATAGTGTGGGTGACAACCTGAATTAGGAGATGCTTGTTTAGCCTCTGGGCTTTGGACAGAACAGTTTTTTTTGCCCTGCAAATGAATAAAATCTGGAGGCATCTCTCAGACAAGGAACAGAAACCAAATGGATGGGTCAAAAGAGTGTGGAGTTTTCAAGTGAGGAAGAGGAAGATGTCTCTCCACTGTTAGAAAGATAAAACAATTCAGAAGGCTGTGTTTATTTCTCCAATGAAGGTAAACTGAGCAGACGGGAAAGAAGTGGACTTCACAGAGCGTCTGGGGTTCCAAGGCTATAGAGACTTCTAGAATATGCACACAAACATTTTAGAAAAGAGAATAGGAACTCATTTTCATTGAGCACCAGGAGCTTTATTTGTATTATCTCATTTAGTCCTCATGGCATTCTCATAGGGTGGATTTCACCGCATTTAGAGCTAGGAAGACCTGCTTCCTAAAGATCACGCTGTCCCTCCGCAGGGCTAGGTCAGCAGACTCCGTCTGATTTTCCTGCTGCGTTCTACAGCTTCTGGAGTCAGTCAGTCCAGGATTCCTGGAAACTAGACGAAGCTCTGGGGACACTGTAGGAAATCTTGGCCAAGGGTTCTCACCCTTGGTTGGAGGTTATACTGGGAAACAGGTCATGAGAGGAAGGAACTGGAGAGTCTGGAAATGACTCGGGGCTTCCAGATCGTCCTGCAGCAGGTGGTGGTGAGGGGTCTCGTGACCCATGCCACCCTTTCTGCAGCTGTTTGGATCTAGGTTTGGATCTGAGCCCTGCAGATGTATCCATTCTTATGTACTTGTCTGTTTTTTTTCTCCCCAGAGCTTCTTCAGAATACCTTCACTTCCCTGGGCTATGAAGTCCAGTGTTTCTTGCTTCTGACTATGAAAAACATAAATCAGATTCTCCACAAAGTTGCCCATATGCCTCGACACCAAGACTACGACAGCTTCGTGTGTGTCCTCATGAGCCGAGGGAGCTCCCACAGCGTGTTTGGTGTGGATCCGTCTCCCTCAGGGTTACCTTTAGATCACATCAGGAGGATGTTTATGGGAGACATGTGCCCTTATCTCGTAGGAAAGCCAAAACTCTTTTTCATTCAGAACTATGTGAAGACAGAGTACCATCCGGAGGACTGTGGCATCCTGGAGGTGGATGGGCCAGCAGTGAACAACGTGGACTCCAAGGCAAGGCAGCCTGGGCCCTGCATGGTTCACCGAGAAGCTGACTTCCTCTGGAGTTTGTGCAAAGCAGACGTGTCTCTGCTGGAGCGGCCCTCCATCTCGCCATCCGTGTACCTGCAGTTTCTCGCCAAAAAACTGTGGCAAGAAAGGTGAATCACGCAGGCCATGGCTGACCCCTAGACCACTCATTTATTTTCCTGCTACTGATACGGAGGTGCCCCTCTTGGCAGAGAGGAAAGAGGATTTTTTATTCCCTGTTGGAGTTGCCTTAGGAGTATGATACAGACCCTGTGCAGAGTATAAACACTTTGAGCTTTAGGAGGTCACTTAGTAGCCAGCTTATAGTTTGGATATTTATCTTCAAAAACATTGTTTTTTTCTTAATTACAAAAGTGATACATACTCCTATATTGGAAAAAGTCATTAAAAATAGAGGCTGAAAACGGAACGTAAGAAGCAGTTATAGTCCTACTTTCAGAACCAACCTCTGTTAACCAAACCTTGGTATATTGCCTTCCTGATCTTTTTTGGATACCCGCACAACCATATATTAATATTTTAAAGGCCAAAATAGAATCATCACCTACTATTACTTTATAATCTGCTTTTAGTCTGTGCAACAGTATATCATAATTTTTACATGTCAGTATTCACATTTCTACAGCATTGTTTTAATGTCTGCACAGTAACCCATGATATGGCTCTAACATAATTTACTTGTTCAATCTTCAAGTCACTAGATTGTGTCAAGCTTTCACAAAAAAGAAAGTATTAATATCTTTCTAGCTCAGTATTTGTGTTGATCTTTGTTTTCTTGGGAATATTCCTGGGAGTGGGATCACTGTGTTGAATGACATGCATTTTTTAAAGCCTTTGATGTTCTTCTCAGACTGTCCCCCAGTACAGTTCTCCCTGCTTTGTCTGAGAGAGCCTGCGTCCCCAAGTTCTCATCGACACTGCGTGCTCTTACATTTTCCCAAGTCTTGACAATTTGATAAGTAAAAAATGGTACCTGACTGTTCCGGTCTGCAAGTTTTTATTGTATAGATGTTTTTGATATTTATGGGCAAGAATTCTTTTCTAAGGGAAGCGTTAGTAACCTCATCTCCGTTGAAGCTGATGGACCCACCCTGTAACTCACATGTAAGATTAGCAATCTTTTTTCACTTACTTCCCAGTTACAACTTAGAATGATATTTCTGAGCCATCTGTGAAGTGCATTCCCTTGTAGCTCTGGGGACCCCAGGAATAGATGTCGTGGCCTGCGGCCCCCAGTCCCTCATTGGTGGTTCAGCAGTACAGGGAGTGCTAGAGCAGGAGCGACTGAGTTCGTCCTCCAAGGTAGATGCTTGGTGGGCCAGTGGTATCACTGGCTTTTTACATGAGTCTTGCATTTGCATAGACAATCCAGGTGGGTCGTCGTTTAGCTGGTGTGTCTCCAGAGTAAGACTCAGTGGTCCCTTGGGGAGGGGACCAACGTCACTGGGCCAAAGTGCTGCAAGCTTGTTTGAATCACTCATGAAGCAGCGTGTAGAGTAGAAATGAGCAACTTCAAAGCACTTTCACCTCAGTTGGCTCATTTCATCCTAATGACAGTCTGTCTTGTTTTTGGTATTTGCATGGCATCAATCTTTGCCTTTCTCCTTCCCTCCAGAAGACGACCACTTGTGGAACTCCACATTGAACTGAATGACAGTGTATATAACTGGAACAGAGGAGTGTCTGATAAGGAGAAGTACTACGTCAGTCTGCAGCATACCCTGAGAAAAGAACTCATTCTCTCCTGCAATTGAAAAGCCAACGACTCTTCTGGCTGCAAAAACCAGCAGAGATCGAATTGGTAGAAGAAACTGCTGGAGGACTTCTGGCCAAGATGGAGGTGTAGGTGGACACACTGTGCCTCTTTGCACAACCAAAATTAAGCACAACCAAAATTTAGTAACAAAAAAACAACCAGGACAGAAAATTGAACTGTCCAGAAGTCCGGAAGTCCGACCGGTAAGAAGGCGGAGTCAGTGGCCGGAGGAGAGGGGTTGCAGCAGGAAAAGCGGTGCCTGGCAGACTCTGGTGTGCAGGGCACAGGCGGCTGTCAGCAGACCCCAGGTGTGCAGGTGGTGGCTAGCAGACCCTGGGCATGGGGAGGCAATGAGCAGACCCAGTGAGGCATGCAAGGCAGCTGGCTGTCTGCAGTCACACATTTGTGTGTAGAGAAACCAGGTGAAAACGGGCAGCGAGATAGACCGTGCAACCCAGGGACCCAGCACCAGGAAACAAAGCCTAAAAGCACTGATTGAAAACACTTGGGGTTGAGGTGCCAGGAGAGACTTCCAGCCCCACAGGAGAGTTAGTTGGAGAGACCCACAGGGTCCTAGAAGATACACAAGCCCACCCACCCGGGTACCAGTACCAGAAGGGCCCAATTTGCTTGTGGGAAGCGGCAGAGGGGACTGAAATCTGATGGAGAGCAGAGCAAGCACCATTGTTCCCTCTCAAACTTGCCCCCACATACAGCATCACAACCCAGTGATTGGGTTGCCCCGCCCTGCTGAATACCTAAGCCTCTGCCCCTCACATAGTAACAAGTGTGTTAAGACAAAAAAAAACAATGGCCCAAATGAAAGAACAGATCAAAGCTCCAGAACAAACACAGCTAAGCAATGAAGAGATAGCCAACCTATCAGATGCACAGTTCAAAGCACTGGTGATCAGGATGCTCACAGAATTGGTTGAATTTGGTTGCAAATTAGATGAAAAAATTAAGGCTATGCTAAGTGAAATAAAGGAAAATGCACAGGGATCCAATAGTGATGGGAAGGAAACTGGTACTCAAATCAATGGTGTGGACCAGAAGTAAGAAAGAAACATCCAACCATAAAAGAATGAAGAAACAAGAATTTTTAAAAAATGAGGAGAGCCTTAGGAACCTCCAGGACATCTTTAAATGTTCCAACATCCGAATTATAGGGGTACCAGAAGGAGAAGAGGAAGGGCAACAAGTGGAAAAGTTATTTGAACAAATAATAAAGGAGAACTTCCCCATTCTAGCAAAGGAAATAGACTTCCAGGAAATCCAGGAAGCTCAGAGAGTCCTAAAGAAGTTGGGTCTAAGGAGGAACACACCAAGGCACATCATAATTACATTACCCAAAACTGAAATTAAGGAGAGGATCCTAGAAGTAGAAAGAGAAAAGGAGACAGTTCCCTACAAAGACGCTCCCATCAGACTGTCAGCTGATTTCTCAAAAGAGACCTTACAGGCAAGAAGGGGCTGGAAAGGAGTATTCAAAGTCATGAAAGGCAAGGACCTGCATCCAAGATTACTCTATCCAGTAAAGCTTCCATTTAGAATGGAAAGGCAGATAAAGTGCTTCCCAGATAAGGTCAAGTTAAAGGAGTTCATCATCACCAAGCCCTTATTATATGAAATGTTGAACCAAACCTTGAAAAGTTGGTGGGCTTTTGGCAGGTTGAAATGGAGAAGAGAATATGTTGCCAGAGAGGAAACAAATCAAGTGGAAGAACAGAAAGAAGAAATATAAGGCATGTTCTAGAAACCTTGAGTGGAACTTTTAGTTGGAGTGGAAAGTGAGGAGCAGTGGTGAGCTGGAAGTAGAAGATGCTGTGGTTAGAATGCTAAGAGGCTTGAAGTGCTCCATCTTCGGGGAATATGGAGAAATTTTAGTAAAATGATATTTGTATTAATTGTATTATTTTGTTTTATACAGAGTATATTATTGTAATTAAAAAAATAAAAATTACTGTAAAGGGTCCTATTTTCTAATATATGTAAACACAATATATTTATTTTACTTCACACATAAGTAGAATACTATTTTCATAGTGTTCCCTCATTTGAGTTATATCTGTATCTCTATGTCTTTGTGTGATATTTAAGTCATTCAGTTTTTCACTGATTAAATGATGATATGAAAAAGTTTTTTTTCTCCTTATTTGGTAAGAACTTCCTATCCTAGACCTAGGAATCCCATTCCCTTCTTAGTCCCTCTTCTGGCATACCTCAATCCTCTTTCAAGACTGAACATTATTTAAACTGTCTTGTAACTTTAATCTCTCCCTTTGTCTTTGATTCTTCAGTCTAGCCAAGATTTGATTCCCCTGTCAAGAAAAGTTTCTCTCTTTAAAAAAAATATTTTTAAAGATTTTATTTATTTATTTTTAGAGAGGGAAGGGAAGGAGAAAGAGAGAGAGAGAAACATCAATGTGTGGTTGCTGGGGGTCATGGCCTGCAACCCAGGCATGTACCCTGACTGGGAATCGAACCTGCGACATTTTTGGTTCACAGCCCGCACTCAATCCACTGAGTTACACCAGCCAGGAGTTTCTCTCTTTTAAACCACTGTCTTATATAAATTTGAGGCAAGTGTCTACTTCTTCCACTTCTGCACTTCCCATTTACTTCATACTTCTCTGCTATCTGGATTTCACCTTAATCATTCTACCAAATATACAAGATCCAAGGGTGGCATTGACTTTAACTACCAAACCAGTGGTCCTTGAATTCTACGGGGTTATTGTCCCCTTTCTACTCCTCCAGGGTATTTTACTATATAAGTTGTATCAAGGATTTCTCTGGCCAAGTCTTCTTGGTATCTTTCTCTTCCTGATCTCTAAATGTGGATATTCCCAAGGATCATTCCTTTTTCTCTATTGACAACTTTGTAGCTTAAATTACTACTGCTATGCCTCTAAAAGGATGTATCTTTCTAGCCCAGATTCGTCTCTTAAGTTCAAATCTCACCCTGCAACTTTCTGGCAGATGTTTCCACTTGAGTTTCTCTCTGTCACCTCACACTCAACCTACTCCAAACATTACAAGCAAGCAAGCAAGCAAGCAAGCAAACAGCCTCTATTTCAAATAGTTCTTCCTGTTGCCAGTTTCAGTGAATCACATCTCAGAACATCAGTTTCACCCTCCTCCACCTTCTCTTGTGTTTCTACATCCAACAGTTTTCCAAATCACATTGGTTTTGTACCTATAATGTCTTTCACATTTTTCTGTCAGTATACTTTCCCTGCCTTCATTACCTCTTCATTGAAATATGTACCACATCTTTATCTATTCATCCATTCATGGGCACTTAGGTTGTTTCCACATCTTGGCTATTGTAAATAATGCTGCAGTAAACATAGTGGGCCTCTTCATTGAACCAAGGTAACAGCTTTCTCACTTATCTTGCCCCTAGCTTCTCAATCCTACAATTATTTCATACGTGGCAACCCAAAGAATCTCCCTAAATGCAGCTTTGTCACTTCCCTCCTTAAAACCTTCAAGATGCTCCAGTGCAGCCCTGACTGGTGTGACTCAGTGTGTTGGGAGTCATCCCACAAACCAAAAGTTTGCTGGTTCGATTCTTGGTCAGGGCACATGCCTGGGTTGCAGGCCAGGTCCCGCAGTTGGGGGAGTGCAAGAGGCAACCAATTGATGTATCTCACAAACATTGATATTTCTCTCCCTCTCTTTCTCTTTTCTCCTCTCTCTAAAAATAAATAAATAAAATCTTGAACAAAAGATTTTCCAGTGCATACACAATAAGATTGTGGTTGGAGGGTGGGATGAGGGATGGTGTGGAGTGAAAGTGTGGCAGAGAACCACTCTTGTAAGTCCTGGAGTCCAAAGGCCCAGAGGACCAGGAGCTCTAGTATCTGAGGGTAGGAGAAGATGAGTATCCTCGTTGAAGAAGAAGAAGAATTTGCCCTTCCTCCTTTTTGTTGGACCCTTCTTGGATTAGATGTTGCCCACCCACATTGGTGAGAGTAGATTTTCTTTACTTGGTCTACTGATGGAAAGTGCTTATCTCTTCTGAAACACCCTCACAGACATGCCCAGAGATAATACATACTGGCTCTTTGGGCATCCTTTAGTCATTGAGTTGATAAATAAAATGAGCTATCACAGGTTGTGACGTGTGATTGTGGCATATCCTAAATCTCTTTTTCTTTTTTCATTGAGATATAATTCACAAATCATAAAATTCATCCTTTTAGAGTGTACAATTCCATGGTTTTTAGTATATTTACACTTGTGCAATCATCACTATGATTTAATTTCAGAACTTGTTCATCTACCTAAAAAGAAATCCCATACTGCCCTGCCGTGTAGCTCAGTTGGCTAGAATGTTGTCCAGATACATCAAGGTTGGGCTTCAGTCCCCAGTCAGGGCACATACCGGAGTCCACCAGTGAATGCATAATCAAGTGGAGCAAACAATCTCTGTCTCTGTCTCCCTTTCTCTCCCCCACGCTCCAAAAAAGAATGAAAGAAAGAGAAACCCACACCTGTTAGTCACCATTCCCTATTCATCCTGCTCCCAGTCCCTAGCAACCACTGATCCACTTTGTGTTCCTGCATTGCTTATTCTGAATATTTCATATAAATGAATCATACAACATAAGACTTTATGTGTCTGACCTCTTTCACTTAGTATAATGTTTTCATCCATGTTGTGGAATATATATCAGTGTTTAATTTCATTTATGGCTGAATAATATTCCAGTGTATGGATATACCACATTTTGTTTATCTATTGATGGAAATTTGAATTGCTTCCACCTTTTTGGCTATTACGGATGCTACTGCTATGAGTATTCATGAATAAGTTTTTGTGTGGTATATGTTTTTTAATTTTCTTGGGTACATATGTAGGAGTGGAATTGCTGGGTCATATAATGGCTTTATATTTAACTTTTTGAGAACTGCTAAAAAGCTTTCCTAAGTGGCTGCACTACTTTACATTCCCACCAGCAGTGTGTGAGAGTTCCAATTTCTCCACATTCTTGCCAACACTTGTTATTGTTTGTCTTTCTTAGTATTACCATCCTACTGGGCATGAAGTGGTATCTCATCATGGTTTTTAAAATCCTCACCTGAGGATATGTTTATTGATTAGAGAGAGAGAGAGAGAGAGACTGATGTGAGAGAGAAACATTGATCAGTTGCTTCCTATACACGCCCCACCTGGGGATCGAACCTGTAGACTAGTTTGTGCCCTGACCAGGAATCAAAGCTGCAACATTTTGGCCTATAGGATGATGCTCCAACCAACTGACCCACCTGACCAGGGCCCATTGTGGTTTTGGTTTGCATCTACCTAATGACTAATGATGTTGAACATTTTTATTTTATTTTATTTATTTACTTTTAGAGAGGGAAGGGAGAGAGACAGAGAGAGAGAGAGAGAAGGAGAGAGAAACATCAATGTGCGGTTGCTGGGGGTCATGGCCTGCA